ACTGCTCATCCTTGAAAACAACGTCTTTTCTTATCTCTTAAATTCTGTTAGAATTAATGACTTCAACCGTAAAATAACCCAGCAGAGTATGGGCAGTACGTGTAATACATATTTACTGCAGCACTAACTGACATGCAGGAGACACAGTAGCATATTTTACCAATACCGTGCAAAGGTTCCAAAAACTACATTCTACATTCTACAGATTGGAAAAGGATTGATGCAATTTGTGGTAATAGTCTGCACCATTATCCTGTTTCTTTCCTGCTTCTTCCTTGCACTCACTAATAAGCAGCACCAACAAATAACCAGCAAGATATCAGTAGCCCAACATTTCGTGTGACCTGAAAGTGTCGCAGTCACTGGGAGCTGCATTCGAAAGGAATATTACCAAAATCTGCATTTCATAAGTGCTGTGTCTTCCCTGCCTTCATGCGATGTGAAGTTCATTCCCAGTGATAATTAAACCCTTAGCACATTTTCATCTTCATACCTCTACTTTACATAATTATCCTCAGGCCACTTTCTCTTGCAAGAGATATTAACTGCTAGATATAGAAGGCAAAGATAATCCCAAAGGATATAATGTGTATACAGGAAAACATTCTCTCTCTCCCTCTCTCACTTTCTGCTTGTATCTCAGAATTGCAAGATTTTAAATTAACAGATATTCCTATATCAACCAAAGATGTGTAGCATTAGGGAGGAGCTGGGAGCAGCAAAAGCTCCTGCCAATAGCAGGACTAATTTCCTTTGTTATAGTTACATTTATATGTCACTTCATGCCCCCTTTGACCATCTGTTTCATTAAAAAACAGGCATACAGCAGTTACACTTTATGCACTGTGTCAGTGTGAACATTGCATCGCAGCATCGAGCCACTACAGATGACTGTACTAATGCATTTTGCACTGAAGTAGCTGAGATTCTCAGTAATATTTATATAGATACAAAGGTGTGAGGCCTTTGTGCTTTAGCTTCATTCAGATAGGATGCAATGAATAAATTTGTCAAATGTGCTCAAGGTCTATACGCTTCTAAGGAGTAAGTGGTGGTTTAAGTGGTTCTTAAATAATGAATACATATAAATACCTTATTTTCAATTTTACATTTACATGACAGGTGTTCAGCTGACTCTCTGCGATCAAGTGACGGCTTAAGAATCAAGTCTGTGTTGTTTGCAAACTGAAATTTTACACAGTTTCCTGGAACTTTTCTGCGAGAGGTCAGATGGCCCAGTGAAAGCAAAATATAAGATAACACACCCTGATAGGCAACGTGACATGAAACCAAAATTGGGGTTTCCCCCCGATTTACTCACAGCTACCTCCGTCATCTGGCTTGAGTTGTCAAAATAAAATGTTTTTAAGCAAATAAATGCAGACTACCGAAGTATACCCTCATCAATCATTTATCCTCGAGATGTGTTGCTCAGTGCGTCATATCATCACCACATTACTTCCCACATGGTGGTGAAAGTCAAATATGTAAATGGGCAAATGGGGCTGATGGTCAACACAAACCCTCCTTGATTAGAAGAGCATGGAGACACCATGGAGACAAGGAGTTTGGGGGGTAGAGAGATAGAGAGGGTGGTATGTGCATGTTTGATGGGGGTGGGGGGGATGATGAATGAGTGTACACCATGCTGTCATTTGTACTTTGGCATCCAGTCCAAAGCACAATTTAGTGTAAAATATTGCACCAGCCCCTTCAGATGACAAAGTGTAATGCTGATGTATGAATAGACAGAAACCATCCCCAGCTGCTATTGAACAGTGGGAGGTAGATATTCTTCTCAAAGGGCATTTAATTAGCGTACACACAGCCACTGCAGAGGGTGAATACTGAAAAAAGGCCAGTCATACTCTGGTCCTTAAGTGCAACAAACAAACATGGCTAGAAAATAAAACAGGTAAGGTAAACAAGTTTGTTGCTCTTCATAGATGTGTCACATATTAATAGATTTAAAATCTTTCTTTTGTTGTTGTTGTTTTTTAGAAATTGTTCCCATTTCCTTAAAAGTGACTCATATTATTCTTTGCTGCTTTATGTCTTCATGCACTGCCTTTCAGCTATTTCAGAGAATACTATTTACACAAAAACTATCTTTTAAATTTTGTTCATCAACTTAGAGATTATCACATAAACGTGAAGAACATCCATCTTAATAATTATCTTGTAGAAGAACTTAATGATTTGTGACATGATGAAAATATCATGTGTGTTCCTTTTTCTGCAACTTTTATTTTCATTTTTTAAGCAAGAGAGTTCTGCATTAACAATATTTCATATTAATAGCGCATAATGTGTCACTTGCCACAAATCTAAATAAAATCTTTTCGTACGCATTTCCTTCGGCCTATGTGGATTCTTTCAGCATCAAATCTTTTAACTTGTTGAATTGCTTTTAGATCTGCAACTTTAGCCACAGCTAGTTTTGTATGAAAAAATGAAAGTTAGATTGTCCTTAATATCTCTCAAATTGTTCAACTTTGTTGGCTTGCTCAGTATAATTTCATAAACAGCTAGGCTAGTTTGACGTAAATCTGGGGAATGCACTTGGAGTACATGGGAGAGCTTTCCAAAACAGTTTAGTTTAACCTCATTTAGAATAAAACTTAATGTTCCCACACGGTTCCTGAGAAAGATTACCAACCTTAAATACCCACAACAGTGAAACTGTATCCAAAATAACACTATTACTGCTTCTGACTTAGGGTACAGGTGCTATGCACAAATTCCTATCAGCCACTTGCACCTGAATCATCCTTTTATATTTGCAAAGATAGCATGACAGCTGCCTTTAACTGTAAGAGTGAGCCAAATTTCTGTCTGGATTATGGGATTCAGTGCAGCTGTGCAGTTTAAAATGCCACACAACCTTCTCTAAAGGACAAGAAGGTAAATAAAACGTTCTATCTATAATGGAGGATAGTTATGACATTTTAAAAATAGCAAACAGTTAATTATTAATCAATGGCACTTAGGTTATGTGAATTTGAGCCTACGTTACTTTGTTTTTTTTACAATATACGATGCTTAAACCCCCTTGAATTTGTCTACATGAAACAGCAGCAAAATTTGTTTTAACATGACTATGAGAAGAATGGTGAAGCTGTCGACCTCTAACCAATATATTCTAATTTCCTTCTATTGGGATTTATGGAATGAGGAAATAAGTGAAATGACTATTGGCAAATATTCTCAAATTACATTTGAGAATTAGTTTCCTTGGGTGTGTTCTGGATGACGTAATTGCAGTAAGTGGTTTTCTTTACCCCCTACAGGTAACTAGATATGTTCCTGATTGTGGGCCGTATATAAGAGGAGAAGCTGTCAGAAAGGTTGCTCATTTAGCCAAACAGTACTTCATACAAACAAACTGACGACTGAGAACCCCTGTCCTGGGTCTCTTCTGGTTTGGCAGGGTAAAGGATTTTCTCTTTTAAATTTGTTTGGTTTTGAGCGTGATGCTTCTTGGTACTTATATTTAAAACAATACTTAAGAAACCTTGCAAAAAATACATTTAATATACGTAGTACTATAATTTAGTAGCATTTTGATGTGGCATTATGTTTTTAATACAGCTAACTTCAATCGATATACAGTGGTGTGAAAAATTGTTTGTCCCCTGTCCATTCATTTTTGCATAATTTTTGTAATCCAGCCACATTGGAGGGTTTACAAGCATGAAACACCTTTTTATGGTCATGCCACAGCATCTCCATGGGATTCAGGTCAGGACCTTGACTAGGTCACTGAGTAAGTCTTCATTTGGTTTTTCTTAAGTCATTCAGAGTTGCTGGTGCGTTTTGGAACATTGCCCTGCTGGAAAAACCAAGTGCGCTTCAGCTTGAGGTCAAAAACTGGACTGGACATTCTCCTTCGGGATGTTTTGGTAGACAGCAGAATTCTTGATTCCATTTACCACACCAAGTCTTCCAGGTCCCGAGGAAGCAAAACAGCCCCAGGCCAACACACTACCATGACCATATTTTACTGTTGGTATGATGTTCCTTGTCTGCAACGCTGTTAGTTTTTATGCCAGATGTAACAGGACTCAAACCTTCCAAAAAGTTCAACTTCTATCTCGTCTGCATAAAAGAATGTTTTACCAGATGTCTTGGGGAGATGTTTTTGGCAATTGTGAGATGAGCCTTTGAGTTATTTTTGGTCAGCAGAGGTTTTCTCCTAGAAATCTCCCATTTTTGCTCATTCCTTTTCTTATTGTTGAATCATGAAGTCTGATCTTAACTGAGACATGTGAATCCTGAGGTTCTTTAATGTTTTCTGGGTTATTTTATGACCTCTTGGATGAGTTGTTGATGTGCTCTTGGAGTAACTTTAGTAAGCCAGTCAAGCCTGGAAAGCTTCACCACTGTTCCAGATTTACTCCATTGGTGAATAATGGCTCTCACTTTGGTTCACTGGAGTCCCAAAGCCTTACAAATAGCTTTGTAAACCTAGACTGATAGATGTCAGTGACTTTGTTTCTCAAGTGTTTCTTTAGATCCTGGCAAGATGTGTTGCTTTCTGAGATCTTTTAGCCTGCTTCACTTTGTCAGACAGCTTCTATTTAAGTGATTTCTTGATTCAACAGGTCAGCCAGCAATGTAGGGACTACAGTAACTACGTTATTATTGTGGTAACGAGCATGGTAACTAGTTATTATGCCAAAATCAAGAACGCGTTAATTGTTACTGGGATTTAGATAGGGTCGTTATTCGTTACTTCTTTCGGTGGCTATGACGGAGCTTCCACAGATTCAGTAACATTAGCAAGTGGTGGAGACCAGCAGGTAGATGAGGGAAAAGGGAGGCCGATTTTTTGTCCCAGTCCAGCCGTGTAAGCAGCTCATCTGCAGTCTGGTGTTACCTTCATCTTCCTATTCGGAAGGCAGAATTTCCGAGTTCTGAGTACAATCAAAAGCACCACGACTGCAGTTTTCATGTTAAATGTAAAAAGCGCACATGATGCTGTGATGTAGGCTAGAATCATGGCGGCGGTCAACGACAGTCAAGGCGTGGGATTTCTCTCGTGGAAATATGCACATTATTTTTTACTTTCTATTGGTAGGTGGCACAGTGCACTTGTGGCAAGTAAGCAAGCTAGAAGACTGGCAATCTGGCTGGGTATCCAGTTACAGAAGCAACACATTAACAAGAGAAGTCTGAGTAAAACCAAAGTTACTTTCCCTAGTAAATAGTTACTTTGAAAATAACGAGTAACTTGAAGTAACTGAGTTACTTTTGATAGAAGTAACTAGTAATGTAACTAAGTTACTAATTTAAAGTAACTTACCCAACACTGTCGGCCAGTAATCAGGCCTGAGTGTGTTTGCTTAAAATGAACTCAGCTTTTCAAAAAATCTGGTTATTTCATCATTTAACAAGAGAGGCACTTACTTTTTCATAAAGGAAAAGGTAGGTTTGGATAACGTTTCTCCCTTAATCACTGAAATCATAATTTAAAAACAGAATTATCTTGGGATATCTTTGTCTAATATTAAAATTAGTTTGAGGATCTGAAACATGTAAGTGTGAAAAATATGCAAAAGACTGGAAAATCAGGAAGGGGGCAAACACTTTTTCACATCACTGTATTAAAAACTAAAATATTGATCTCATTGTCATTTTGTTTTAAGGTTCCTCTACAATCATGATGCGACTGGTAATGTATAACTTTAAATACATTTTAAGTTCAATTAAAATTGAATTTCCTTTTGTTCTGTAATACACATGTTTTCACATTACAAGCTCAATTCCGAAAATGTTGGTATTCTGCATAAAATCTAAATAAAAACAGAATGATATGATTTGCAAATTTTGCAAACTAACATTTTATTCACAATATAAAATACGTGAAATAAGTTTAAACTTATTAGTGGCTGATTTAAAATAGTATCAAATAGTAAAAGTTCTGGACTGCAGGGAAACAAGTTCAGCATCTATACACTTCAACTTTAATATTGTCTTGGTGAAATATGTAAGGCCTTGACCAAAAGAAACATAATATGGATGGGAGCACATGTTGCTCTAAAACCTGTTCACAGCTTTCAGCACTGATGGTGCTTTTCCAGATGTGGGAGATTTAAAATTATCTGACTGTAGAAGTACACGCCAGAAACGATGGTTCTGCACACTGTTATTGTTTTTTATTGAGAGTTATGCACACAAAGAAGGCAGTCCGTTTCAGTCTAGCTCTCTCCTCCTCCCCGCTCGACTCTGCCTTCATTATAGAGACACGGAAAAGAGACACCGTCATCAGACAATCGCCTGTGGCTCACCTGCCTCCCGGTGCCACCCCCTTGAGCTCACTGCACCACTCCTCCCTTGCAGCTGAGCCAGGGACCACGCCACCACCACACTGATATATTTCATGAAATAGCAAAATGACTCAGTTTAAATGTTTTTAATGTTCTACTGAGAATAAAGTGTCAGTTTATGAAATTTGCAAATCATTGTATTCCGGTTTCAGTTACATTTTACAGAATTTCCCAACATTATCAGAATTGATTTTATACATTCAAGACAATATGTATAAGCAGAATGCAGTTTTATGTGATTCCAACATAATTATTTTTTCTATTTTTTCTTGCAGTTGGTTGTTGCCATTACTGCGGGATTACTTTTTGGTGGGTTGTTCTCAATAACTATTAAATTTGAACAATTCTGCAATTTATAAGAAGTGCATTTAATCAAAAAATATGCAATTAAAGCATTATTAGCAAAACAAAATGTTATGATTGTGTTTACCAGAAAACACATACAAGGTGGACAGTGCGCCCAGCTCTGAAAAACAAAAAGATAAAAATGGTAAGACCCTTCCCAGTAGGATGCTACATTTCATTACCAATGTCCTGTATCTTAGCTAATGTAGAAAAACATTGTAACATGTTAATTGTATATTCAGATTTGACAATCTTAAAATAGTAACATCCTTCATCACAAGTTTATTAATGTTACATACAATGTATGTTATTTCAGTCTCAGATGAAGAACTTTGTATCTACTTCTAAAGTTAATAGCTTCTGACAAGACTATAATATCTCAAAAGTGTTGGCAATTGCAAAAATCCAACATTATTCTTCTTACTAGGAAGTGAAAATCAGGCTTCCAGTGGCTCCAGTTCTAAGAACCCAAAGGATAAAAATGGTGAGATCCTTCATTACAACTTGAATAATGTTGTAATTAGTTTTATGTGTGTACATAAAAGGTTTATATTTTCTTCTGAAGAGCTTTGTATCTTCTTGTAAAGTTGTTTTTTGGCAATTATATCAACTGGCAGAACTGTATACAGTCACAAAAAACAATAGAAATAGTTCGATCTTTCATAAAAATTTCATTAATGTCAATACAGTGTGTATTATTTCAGTCAAAATCACAACATTATTCTTCTTAGTAGGAAGCGACCAGCAGGCTCCCAGTGGCTCCAGTCCTAAGGACCCAAAGGATAAAAAAGGTATTGCAATATGATTAATGTCACATAAAATGCGTATTATTTCAATCACTGCAGAAGAGCTTCGTAGCATTTTGTAAAGTTATTCAGTTTTGACAGCTGTGCCATCATAACTGTGCACAATCACAACAGACATCATTTTTTGATTATATTTACTAGAAATCTCCACGGACTCCAGTCCTAAAGACCAAAAGGATAAAAATGGTGCGATCCTTCATTACAACCTAATGAATGTCACATAAAATATGGATATTTTCAGTCGGTGCTGAAAAGCTTTGTATCTTCGTGTAAAGTTGCTCATTTTTGAAAATTACCTAAATTGGCAGAACTGTAAAAATAGAAATATTGAGATCCTTCATAAAAATTTCATTAATGTCAATACAGTGTGTATTATTTCAGTCATTGGTAGAACTGTACAACATCACAACATTATTCTTCTTACTAGGAAGCGACCAGCAGGCTCCCAGTGGATCTAGTCCTAAGGCTCTATAGGATAGATCCTTCATTGTAATATGATTAGTGTCACATAAAATCCGTATTATTTCAATCACTGCAGAAGAGCTTTGTAGCATTTTGTAAAGTTATTCAGTTTTGACAGCTGTGCCATCATAACTGTGCACAATCACAACAGACATCATTTTTTGATTATATTTACTAGAAAACTCCCCTCAAACCAGTCCTAAGGACCAAAAGGATAAAAAAGGTAGATCCTTAATGAGAATTTGATTAATGCCAGTACAGTGTGTATCATTTCAATCACTGCAGAAGAGTTTAGTAAAAGTTACTCATTTTTGACAATTTTGCACAATCACTGTGCACAATCACAACAGACATCATTTTCTTACTATATTTACTAGAAAACTCCACTGACTCCAGTCCTAAGGACCAAAAGGATAAAAAAGGTCAGATCCTTCATTACAACTTGATTTATGTCACAAACGTGTATGTACATAAAATGTGCTGAAGAACTTTTCAGCTTCTTGTAAATGTATTAAATTTTGACAATTTTGTAAACTCCCAGAACTGTACACAATCACAAAAGATCTTTTTATTCATTTTAACTAGAAAAGTCAAGTGGCTCCAGTTCTAAGAAACAAAAAGATAAAAATGGTGAGATCCTTCATTGTAACTTGATTAACACCATGTAAAATGTGTACATCTTCAGTCTCTGTTGAAGAGCTTTGCATCTTCTTGTAAAATTATTCAAATTTGACAAGAATTGTACACTGTAACAAAGTACAACATTATTCCACTTAATAGGAAGCAAATTGCAGGACTCCAGTGAATCTAGTTCAAAGGAAGAAAAGGACGGTAAGAGCCTTCAACACTGTGTATCAGTATCACATACAGTGTGGTGTATTTTAATCACGGTGGAAGAACTTTGTAACGTCTTGGAACTCCATAAACTGTAAGGACTGTTATTCTTCTTATGTTTACTAGAAAGGAAACAGCAGGACTCCAGTGAATCTAGTTCAAAGGAAGAAAAGGATGAAAATGGTAAGACCCTTCACTATGTGTCACACCCAACGTGTAGTCAGTGGCATACTTTGAAATGAGAGAAATATTTGCTTATATTGTGATGTCAAACAATGCCCCCAAAATGATGATGTATTATTCTATACATTTACATCTCTATTCTACATTTTTTAATTGGTTGCTAAAGCTTGGTTGCTAAATGCACATTAAACTGTTTACTGGAATACGTGTTAAATGTGTTGATGTGACAGTGGAAATTCAGATTCTTTCTTATCTTATCTTATCTTATCTTATCTTATCTTATCTTATCTTATCTTATCTTATCTTATCTTATCTTATCTTGTCTTGTCTTATCTTATCTTTTAAGGTGCAACCTACTGAGTGTCTGTCTGATTTTAAGGAACAAAAGAAGACCCTTCACTTTAATATAGCCCAAAGTGAAGTGAAGTTTCTAAGTTCCTAAGGTGGAAAATTTAATGTTTCATTTGTCACACAGGAGTAGCTATTTTATCCTTTTTATCAGTTTCCTGATAAAATAGGACTTTCCTCTTTTTTTTTTGGTAATCACACAGTATTAACTCTCATTTTCTCACCAACTAAAGTATCGAATTCATTGTATTTGAAAAACAATCAATGCATTTTAATTGATCAGTTTGTGCAATTTTTAAAGTCTCACTTTCTGCTGTTTTTTCATTTTCTGCATTTCAGTAAAGCCCTGCTACTATCCCACCAACATTCGTAAGGAGATCACATTTTATTTTCTCATTTGCAGTTACAGTGTGAAAAAGTGTTTGTCCCCCTGATTTCCTGGTGTTTTGCATGTTTTTCACACTTACATATTTCAGATCATCAAACAATTGTTAATATTAGACAAAGATAACCAAAGTTAATATGAAATTCAGTTTTTAAATGAGGATTTCAGTGATTAAAGGAGAAAGTAAGAAAGAAAAAAAAAACAAAAAAAAAAAAAACAACTCTCCAGTGAACCAAAGTAGCAGCCATTATATACAAAATGAGAAAACTTGGAACAACGGTAAAGCTTCCCAAGAGTGACCAAAATTACTCTAAGAGCACATTGATGACAGCTTAAGAAAAACAAAATGAAGACTTTGGAGCGGCCTAATCAAAGTCCGGACCTGAATCCGAAGTAGATGCTGTGGTATGACCTTAAAAAGCTGTTTCATGCTTGAAAACCCTACAATGTGGCAAAATTGCAACAATTATGCAAAGATGATTGGTCCAAAATCCCTCTACTCTTGATTCCAGTTTTTGCTGCTAAGGGTTGGCCCAACCAGTTATTAGGTTTAGGGGGCAATCACGTTTTCACACAGAGCCATGTAGGTGATACAGTGGGGCAAAAAAGTATTTAGTCAGCCACCGATTGTGCAAGTTCCCCCACTTAAAATGATGACAGAGGTCAGTAATTTGCACCAGAGGTACACTTCAACTGTGAGAGACAGAATGTGAAAAAAAAATCCATGAATTCACATGGTAGGATTTGTAAAGAATTTATTCGTAAATTAGGGTGGAAAATAAGTATTTGGTCACCTCAAACAAGGAAAATCTCTGGCTCTCACAGACCTGTAACGTCTTCTGTAAGAAGCTTTTCTGTCCCCCACTCGTTACCTGTATGAATGGCACCTGTTTGAACTCATCATCTGTATAAAAGACACCTGTCCACAGCCTCAAACAGTCAGACTCCAAACTCCGCCATGGCCAAGACCAAAGAGCTTTCGAAGGACACCAGGAAAAGTATTGTAGACCTGCACCAGACTGGGAAGAGTGAATCTACAATAGGCAAGCAGCTTGGTGTGAAAAAATCAACTGTGGGAGCAATCATCAGAAAATGGAAGACATACAAGACCACTGATAATCTCCCTCGATCTGGGGCTCCACGCAAGATCTCATCCCGTGGGGTCAAAATGATCATGAGAACGGTGAGCAAAGATCCCAGAACCACACGGGGGGACCTGGTGAATGACCTGCAGAGAGCTGGGACCAAAGTAACAAAGGTCACCATCAGTAACACACTACAACGGCAGGGAATCAAATCCCGCAGTGCCAGACGTGTTCCGCTGCTGAAGCCAGTGCATGTCCAGGCCCGTCTGAAGTTTGCCAGAGAGCACATGGATGATACAGCAGAGGATTGGGAGAATGTCATGTGGTCAGATGAAACCAAAGTAGAACTTTTTGGTATAAACTCAACTCGTCGTGTTTGGAGGAAGAAGAATACTGAGTTGCATCCCAAGAACACCATACCTACTGTGAAGCATGGGGGTGGAAACATCATGCTATGGGGCTGTTTTTCTGCCAAGGGGACAGGACGACTGATCCGTGTTAAGGACAGAATGAATGGGGCCATGTATCGTGAGATTTTGAGCCAAAACCTCCTTCCATCAGTGAGAACTTTGAAGATGAAACGAGGCTGGGTCTTCCAACATGACAATGATCCAAAACACACCGCCCGGGCAACAAAGGAGTGGCTCCGTAAGAAGCATTTGAAAGTCCTGGAGTGGCCTAGCCAGTCTCCAGACCTCAACCCCATAGAAAATCTGTGGCGGGAGTTGAAAGTCCGTGTTGCTCGGCGACAGCCCCAAAACATCACTGCTCTCGAGAAGATCTGCATGGAGGAATGGGCCAAAATACCAGCTACTGTGTGTGCAAACCTGGTAAAGACCTATAGTAAACGTTTGACCTCTGTTATTGCCAACAAAGGTTATGTTACAAAGTATTGAGTTGTATTTTTGTTATTGACCAAATACTTATTTTCCACCCTGATTTACGAATAAATTCTTTACAAATCCTACCATGTGGATTCATGGATTTTTTTTTCACATTCTGTCTCTCACAGTTGAAGTGTACCTCTGGTGCAAATTACTGACCTCTGTCATCATTTTAGGTGGGGGAACTTGCACAATCGGTGGCTGACTAAATACTTTTTTGCCCCACTATATTTCCCCTAAATCATAAACACCTTCATTTAGAAACTGCATTTTGTGTTTACTTATGTTATCTTTGTCTAATATTTAAGTTTCTTTGATGATCTGAAACCTAATACTTTTTCACACCACTGTACATCACAGCCATCTTTTTTAACATTCACAATTTGTCTTAGTCAAATGAAAACATTTACAGAAAAGCTTTCAAAGTTGCTAAATTATCTGAATTTGACCCTTTTCCAGGAGGCTGGACAGAATGGTTCGATAGAGACGACCCTTCTGCATCTGGAGACTGGGAAACTCTTTGCAGGCTCCGCAAAGAGAACCCTGGAAAGATCTGCCCTAGACCAGCAGCTATCGAAGCCAAGACTCTATCTGGGCTCACTGTGGCTGCAGCAGGGGACGTGATTTACAAGTAAGAACAGTACAAGAAAAAATATGTGAAAAAGTGTGTGTGAGTGATATATTCTATGGAATTGGCAGCATTTGCATCTTCACTGTTTAAGTTGGACACAGTTTGAGGATTCACCAAAGTGTGACATGAACCATATGCCACAGCAATCCATCCAGTGTTTTGGAGATATTGCAGCCTGTACCACAGTGGTGACAAATCAACAGACAGACAGATGGGCTGACAGAGTTTGATTGCCATGCCTTTAACCATGCATTAACATGTCTAAAAAATGCAAATACACTTAAGTGGTTACAGCCATTAGGCTGCTCTTAGTCAGTGTCATGCTGGTCTCCTTCTTTTCTTTTTTCTTTTTTAGAAATGACATAACTTCAGGATTTATCTGCAGAAACAAAGACCAGATCAACAATAAGAAGTGCAACGATTATCGTGTTCGCTTCAGCTGCTATCCCCCCTTTTGTGAAAGAGGAGGTATCACTACATTCTGCATGTGGAATATTAAGCTCCTAATGCAAACTGATTTCTTGCTTTTTTTTATTGCATAAAGTATAGACAGTCATTTAAAATGTTGCATTGGTTCTGTAGTTTTCTAACAGGCATGCTTTGTCTGTATTTACTCGCTGCAGTGTGTTGGACCAGCTGGTTTAATCGCGATGATCCTGGCACAACAGGAGACTGGGAGGTTTTAAGTGAACTGAAGAAACAAAACAAAATTTGTGACAACCCTCTGTATGTGGACGCTGTTACCACTGACACGATGACCCCAGCCATCTACACAGGGGAGACCTTTTACATGTAAGCTGCCTCCTAAGAAAACAATAAAAGCTTCACGTGTAGTACAAACAACCCAATGATCAAACACAGTGTTCAGCAACAACGCCTCTTGCCTCAAGTTTCCAAATTTTAGATATGTTCTGCCTGAAGATATTTCTTAAACAACGAATGGGAATTCAGTTATATTTGTAAGGGTGATCATTTTTCCTGAGGGATTTCAAAATAATGTCAAAATTCATTCTTGTATTACTGGGTTTGACTAGAACAATATGTGTGTTACGAGAAAGAAAAAGTAATACATGACAGGAAATGATTTACATATGATTATTTTATCTTATTTAAATTGGATGTTTGAGACATTTCACATTTACACTTATAAAAAACAAATTACACAAGACATTTTGAAGAGTAAAATTCATTTTTATTGGACCTGCCAACAGCACTATTGCGAAACCAGGTCATCTATTTTTATCATTAAAAAAGACAACTGCAACAACAAAAGTAAGTATGGTTTAACCAACATGCCTCATTAAACAGTGGAAATGAACTGACATTTACATATTACTTTACCAGTCTTATTGACTGTGGAGTATAGTGCTGGAGAATAGAAGGTAGATTTAACCATACATGTTTACTCTGCTTTACACTTTAATTATTTTATGGTGGGCAAATTAGACCTACTAACTAGATATGTATGTCTTTGTACAATAAACACAAGTTCCTGTTTTAGATTATTATCGTCATAATAATAAAATAAGAACATTAAGAATATTTGTAGCTTACTTTGTGCTCATTTTTTTCAGGTACAATCCAACTGATGGATTTGTTTGCCGCAATAAGGACCAGACTACTGGCAAGTGCAGTGACTACAAAGTTCACTTTGGATGCCCATGTAACAACTGAGCCCCGATTGAGTCCACCACGCTTAGAATTGTGGGGAGAAAAGAAGTTCCTCTTCATATCACTTTAATTTTCCTCTGCTATTTCTTTTGTTTAATAATTCATTTTTTACTGGGCGTAATATCGGGAGGAATTTGTAATGGGCCCCTTTCGCAGACATCTTCACTTAGCGGCGTTGCAAAAGCACAGGTGTTGCTAAATTAAAGATGATCTTGTTTCACTGAAGCAACCATGGTGATGTGAACGACACAAAAGCAGCTAAAAATGAAGATTTAGTATTAAATATGTACGCAAATGTTTTCAGTGGTACAGGAGGAAGTTTTTCTGCTTTAACTTTCTTTTCTTTTCAGTGATTATGAAAGCATGACATTGTTTGACTAATGAACCAAAATACTAAAACGAATAAAACCACTAATGAACAGCAAGTCGGTTTCTTCTCTTGAGCTTACATGAAGCTATGACTTGATGTGAGTTATGCAGATGTACAGTATATGTTTTCAGCAGATGGTGGGGACTAATGTGATACGCATGCTGTGTTGTTTGACAGGAAAGTGAAAATGTGGAAAAGCGCAACTCAGTAAATCTGAATTTTATATCAAAATAATTGGCAACACTAACAAGCAAACACACAGGTAGAACTAATGTCTATTTATAGAAAAAAAGACAGTTTGTTTTTTTAGTGCAGGATTAGTGTATTTACAGCTTCCCTTTCTCGCTGACCTACATAAGGCCTTCGCCACATTTCCTTTAAAATCAAGTATTCTTGATGCAAGCCTGTACGTGCACATAACCCCCTGCAAACCCAGAATGTACACATATAGGCACACAGATACATATATACATGCACACACATACACACAGGCACTAAGGAGAGCAGGGAGATACAAGGTGATTCCATAACACCGCCAACAATTCCTCGGGAGATGAGCACTTGTGATAGGTGCTGAAAAGAAACTGCAGGGCACTGTACGGAATATAAAATAAGGAACTTTTCCACAGTCTGCTCTTGGAAACGGATCTGTTCTTTGGAGGGTTTTGCTAATGCTTGCATGTTTGCATTGCATCAACAGTTCTGTACTTGGTGCCATTTGGCTTTGAGCATGAACGCCTGTCTTCCAGAAGGCTGAAGACTGTGTTGAAATAGGCAACATATCAAAAGACGAAAAAGAAAAAAAAACAACCGAGAAGGACGGATGCAATCTGTTAAATTTTTCCTCTCAACTTCTCATGATAAAACTAAAGAGGAAAAATTCTGACACTGGTGGCAAAATAAAATGAAATTTGCATTATTGAAGTGCAACATAAGTGTCGAAGCTTTGCAGCACTATGGCGTTCCATTCTCTTCCATTAATCTACCAATATTCCATGGCTGTGAAGGCCTATTTATAGACCAGGGGATGATTAAGTGGTGAAGCTCTGTGCCACAAAGGGAACCAAGCTCATTTTCTTTTTCCTTCCTCTCTCTTCTTTGTGTATTCTCTTCCTACTTCTCCCTCTCTCTTTCTATCCCTCTGTGCCCGAGTCTTCTTTCCTATCGTCTCACTCTTTCTCTCTGCGCTCCTCTTTTCCATGAGCTTATATATTATATACCCAACTTTCATTCATATACTTTAGTTTAGCTGTCATTAAAATTATGTTAGACTCAAGGGGTAAGGATAAGTCCTTTAATTTCTTTTCTTTTTTTCATTAGGCATTTGACAAAAGGATTTACAGCAGTGTTAATTGTTATGAGGCTTCACAGCAAAGACTGACAGGCTTAACAAGAGAGGATGAAGCTCAGTTCTATATGTTTCCATTGCTAAGGCAAGCTGGCTCAAGAATGAAAAGTGTTTTTAGTTATAAGTAGAGGAAGAACATTTGTGCAGAGAGCTGCTTGCAAGGTGTCCTTGAGTGGAAGTGGAGCAATGCACAGGATAAAGGGTTAAGCTCATTTTCATGTGTGCAGACATGATTAATGGAGGAGAGGAAAGGAAAGGAAAGGAAAGGAAAGGAAAGGAAAGGAAAGGAAAGGAAAGGAAAGGAAAGGAAAGGAAAGGAAAGGAAATGACCTCACCCAGTTTAGGACCAGCCTCGTTTCATCGTTTCCAGAAGAGCAAGGACATAAATGAGCTCAAACCCTCCTCCGTGCTTCCACACACTCCAGCTACTGGTCCATATCCAGATTTTTCCCTGCATTTACAGAGGCTTGGATAACAGCATTTTTGTGAAGAGTGGGCTTAGTGCAGAGCTGTAAATACTGATGACCTCAATAACACCCATTTGCCTATTAAAACCACTCAAAATATTTGTAGAAGGAGGTGAAAATGGACTATTTGAATATGCTGAAATGATACTTATTATGCCAGAAGTAGATTTATTTTTAATGCAATAAAAAATGGATTCTGTGTTAGAAATTAACCATAAAAAGTGCAGTCATTTATATCATACATACTGAATATCAAAGCTTATGTGACAGAAATAAGTCACCAAATTTGTCCTCATCAGAAATGTCTTTTTCTCACTAACTGCAAGAGTTTGGGACTAAAAATAGCAACATTTAATGCATCTGAAAGCATCTCAGCATCCTTAAATCTAGAACAGCTCTTTGCAATCACCTAACAGCCGGAGCTTGTATTTAAAGACCAATTTGTTACACTATTTAGAATTTCTGTTTATTTGTCTAATATATTTTGGTATAGCTGCAGTCTTGGCAACCCATGAAAACACTTTAGCTGTACAAGGCAGTCCATGTACGTTGAGTTATTTTTAATAAATCCTTAACCAGGCAATTTGATAATTCCCAAATCCATCTGTCAAATAGCATTTAATTTAAAGACACAAATTTATCACATTCATGGCGGTGTAAATTTGATTAGTCCTGAATTATGTATAAATGAATAGCTCTGCCTCCATCCCTAGACTCCTTGGGATGTCAGACCCCAACTTTAAATCCCTCTCACCAAAGCAATATGAGCCTGAAAAGCTATTAGAGCATGACTCCTGAGAGATGAACAAGACAAAAGCGTTATGCCTGTACCTCCACGTAAGGTGCGAACAATACCAGGCTATTTTCACTCTGACAAGCCATATTAGTCGTGCCAGCTTTTGCCTGCTGGCAACTCCGACGTGATAGCTGTCTGGGACATTTTGTTTCCAGTCACAGTAGCTGATCCCTTGATTAAAAACATTGAATGCTGAGAGCGTGTTATCCCTGTTTGGAGTTTCTGATCCTGGGTGTCTCAGGCGACTGCTGGGCTTTCTCATCCCCAGCGGCAACAGCTGATCCCAGGAACTTTAAGGACGCAGAGTGGATTGCATTACTGAGGTGGAAGTCAAAACATGCCAGAAGTGTTTGCCTGTCATAACCCTTCGCTGAAAAAAAATAAGAAAAATTCTGGTGTGTAAGCTGATTTCTAATGAGGAAATAGATGCATTGTTACCCAACTTTCACTGCAGTATCTTTAAGACAGCAAACGGTCTTTGTAAAAGTTATTTTTTTTCCCCGCATCACACCGTATGGCCTGAAACAGATTTATATTATGTGGTGACATAATGTTAGCTTGGTGGCATTCATGTTCATGGGTGGTTTCCGTGTCTCTTTTGTCAATGGCTTATAAAATGGCAAGAATTACACCGCTCCCCAATGAGTTACGACTAGGCACCAAGAGAACCCATTAACAAAGGCCCAGATGCACACAAATCACCAATGTGTGTCCAATCTTTGTTTACACTATCACATTTGGCTTTGAAAGGCCCTCCACTTACACCCATTCATGGGCATCAGAGATGGAGATGTCTTTGGAGAAAGGGAAGTTTATTGGAGGCTTTCCTGTAACAGAATGCAAAGCCTTATGAGTTCCTCTCATATTCTCCAGTCTCCTTCTCTGCAGGCAAACCCTTGGCACTGGCTAGCCCAATAGGGAAAGTCACTTTTTGCAAGCATTGCCAAGATTTCTATTTGAAAGCCAAAATGTGTAGGCAGACAGATGCATCTGTCCACATTCTGTCTGTTCCTCTCTTTCAAACTTTCCTCACTGGCTCTCACTATCTCTCTCTCTCTCACACACATGCATATGCACACACATCCACTCGCTCACACAGGGGGCTGTTTCCTCATCGTTCACACTGAGAAATGCCCTGTAAGGATGTCCTTATCCTGCAAACCAGACTCTGCTGGATGCTATATAATAACAACTCCAGCCATCCACCATCCAATCAGCCAGGCTCACTGCTGTGGGTGCGCGCGTGTGTCTGTGAATATGCATGATTTTTTTTCTCTCCCTAAGATCTGAAACCACAGCGCACAGAAAGGATTTATTTTTCCTGACAAGATATAAACAACTCATACAAAATCAATTTTAAAAAGGAAAATATTTATTCATTTACAATTGTTTGTGGTCAGATAGAGGCTACTGTGTGAGGAATTTCAGCTGAGAACCATAAATATTACCACAATTATACATTAAAAAACAGTCCATGGTGAGCACAAGGATGGATAGAGGTGGATTATGCAGCAGGAGAAGTCTGAGAATTTTCTGTGGACATTTGGACTTTCTTGCTCTGGAAAAAGTGGGGCATCTTTTCCACTAATTATGGGATGAATCCAAGCTGACTACAACTGCTACAAACCTTTCAGACCAATATTTCAAACCAAAAATGTGTTAAATAAACTGTATTTGAGTTATTAATGAAGCATTCATTTTAAGGGGCACAATGAATCATAATCTGTAATGTTTCAATGGATATTAAATCTCTATGGCAATATGAACTATAATGTTTCATTAGTATAGCCTTGATGAATCTTTTCTGCACTTATGATGTTTTTTTTTAAAAAAAATAAACATGTGAAGCATATGGATCCAGAGTTATATTTAACATATTATGTTTTAAGCCTCTTTAAAGGTCTAATCAGGCACATATGATTCAAAACTGGGTGTGCACTGGAAGACTACAGTCAGGTGCTCATTAATCCAAACATCTAATCAAACGTGGAACCGGCTCAGTGGATTCGGGCATGTAGACAT